TTTTGCCTGGCACAAGAGGGGTCCTGCTTTGCTGGGGACTTGGGAACAGGAGGGGCAAGGCTTGAGAGACAAGCTCTTCTGTTATCCTCTGGAAGGCACCAGCATCCTCCTCTTTCTTCTCTGATTGTGGGGCTTCTGTTTCCAGGGAGGAAGAAGAGGGAGACTGGCAGCTGGGGTTAACTGAAGGCTGCAGAGAGTGGAGGTGGCTCTTGGTCTAAACTCCTCTGAGTTGTTTTGTGGACCCAAGTGCCACAGGGAACTGCTGCCCTGATACCAAGTGTTCTGCCCCTGCCTAACTTACCTCCACCCCTGCCCATGGCCAGAGCTGGCAGGGCCAGGCAGGAGTGGCTTTCTTGGGCAGAGAGAGTTCTGGTTCCACCTTCTGTTCCCATGGCTGGGCTGGCCCAGATTCACGTGTCTGTCAGTGCCTGAACCTGACTCAGGGCTCAGCCATGCTGCAGGGCTGGTTCTGAGCTCACACACCCACAGCCACCTGCTTATCCACTCCTCTTCACCTTGACCCGGGCCTCCAGCTCAGCTTCTCCTTCTCTGACCCAAGATTGCTCCCAGAGTCCCTTTCATCCCATCCGACCTCTGAGGAATGGTGGAGTCTGCTCAAAGAGGATGGGCTTGGGGCCTCCAGTCAAAATACCCTCAGGAAGAACAGTCCAGGTAGTGTTCAGGGCAACCTGTGACTGCAGCACAAGACAGGAAGTATACCTCAGTATAATTGAAAGGTTAGTTATGTTTTACTGGTGGCTCCTTTTCAACTAAGCAGAGCCGCAGACTAAAGTCCGCATACAAAGGGCCCCTTAGCAAGTGCTGTGTTTCTTCCCTCTCGTGGTCCCCTGGGAACATAAAGGAAGCTAAGGAGGGGAGGCTGCCAGGAGGAAGTGATCTTCAAGGTGGAGAACAAACAAAGGAAAAAAGGTCATTCTAGAGCAAAGGAATGTCACACACAAGGACTGAGGGGGCACCTTAGCATACTTAGAGCCACCTACCAGTTACCTGTATGGCTGGTCAGGTGCAAGAGGGTGATAGAATTTGGAACCATAAGAAGGGATGGGGACAATAACATTCATTTATTCAATACTTCCAGTATTCCCATGCTTAGCTTGGGGTAGGGTGCAAAGCTCAGGCAGTGGGACTATAAAGATGTTTAGACACATAATTTGTCTTCTTTGTCACCATATCCTTGATTTTTGCCACAGTGCTGGATATACAAAAGATACAAACAGATGAATGAATGAATGAATGAATGAATGAATGAATGAATGAATGAACGAACAAATGACCAAAGCAGGCAGTGATATGGCCACTTAAAGAGAAATAAGGAGAATAAAAAAGTCATGCTGAGGCAGAGAACCCAAACGTTAGACAAAAGCTCTTGGGAAGAGGCTTATTTTTCTTATCTTTCAGGCAAAGAATGTCGCTGTAGCTTTCAGGGCAGCCCTTCACCGTGGCTAGTGCAGTTAGTCACTCTGCAGTAGGAATGTTGATGTTTTTCTCTCTGATGCAATATGCTAGAAGGCTTTCACGGCACATCGTGTTGAGCAAGCACCGGCTGCAGCAGAATCTGGGCAGGGCTGGCGGGGCTGGGGAAGAAGACCAGGCCGATTGCAAGAGGCAACCCAGAGCAGGGAAATGGCCATGATATTTCCCAACACTTGCAGGGTATGTCCCCAGGTAGGAGCCTTTGGACCTGCAGGCGGCATTTGTTTAATGAGAACAGACTATGACACGGGGCTTGCTCAGAATGGAAAGCTGCCAGCTGCCAGAGGAGAGGAGAACCATTCCTACCACAGCTGAGCAGTGTCAGGCCGTGTGCCTCCTGCCCACTCCTGCCCACTGCTGCTGGGGGGTTAAAGGTTTGCTTGGTAGGTGAAGGCAGGGTGTAGGCATGTGCCTGCTGCAGGTCTGGGCCTTCAAAAGTTGTCCAGGTTCCATGGGGATGGCACCCACCAGGCCCCCAGGAAGAAAACTACAGCCGCATGGAAAACTTCACTAGGAGGAGACGGGGGTGAAACCAAGTCACGGGTATCTCCAGGAGCTTCATTCCTTCAGGGAGGCGTGATGCTCAATACTCAAATGCAGATTTACTGTGAAGCTTAACAGAGCTCATGCGTTGAGGCTGTCCCTTGTGCAGCTGTCTCCTAAGAATCTAGACCTGATTCTATAGTCAACATTTTGCATTCTTTCTTTCATAGCCCCCACCCCATTGATAAGCCTCGAGCCTCACAGAGTTGGTCCCAACCTTGTGATCCTCGACTCTGGAAAACCATGAGCAGATAGTGGGTATCTTGGGCTGAGTTCATTGGCTCCCCTTCCAAACTTCTGATCAGGACCCTTGCCAGCTGCCCTGGAGCCCCACAGTGGAGGGCCACATCTCAGAACAGTGGATGTCCTCCCTACAGGGCAGCAGAGGCATACGGCAGCCGTGGGGCCCCAGGCAGGCAGAGGGAGACTACAGCTACAGAAAGTTAGTTCAAGGTATCATTCCAAAAGAAGTGGCAGCCCAACAAGTGTGAATGTGCTCAGTCAGATACTACTGAGAATGGTGTCCTGTGACCCACTGGGGGGCATTTGGTGATGACCCATGATCAACCACTGGCCTAAAGTGGTGCTGTGATATGAAATGCCACTCAATCAATCACACATTTGGGAAGGGTGAATCTATGGCGTGTGAATCCTATCGCTCTTTTAAAAGGATGCAGAGAGCTCTGATGCTACTGCACTTTTCACAGGTCTTGGATCCAGGCAGGGGAGTCCAGGCAGGCACTGTGCCTGGCTAGCGTTTTCACACTAGCTCCAGAGAGCTCCGTTCCTCACATCGAGGGCTGTTCAGGAACAAGTGTCTGTTTGCGCTAGGAGACCAAGTGCTGCAGTCCTTGGGGGTAGTGAAGTGGCTTTGGCTCTCTCTGGGTGATTTGGCCTGGATTTGTTGTCCTTGTCTTGCATATTTTTAACAAGCTTGGAGCCTGGCATTTGCGCAAGCCAGGGGACAAATTAACAATTAACCAGGAGGTGAGAGAAAGGAAAGAGTCTGGGGCAGCCACTCAGAGATCATGGGCTGCCCTTACACGCCCCCAGCCTCCTGGTTGCAGTACTGGGTGAGGGCGGAGCAGGCAGGCCAAGGTGGCTTCCTCTTCCCTCAGAGAGGAACCTGGCCTCCAAAGGGCTCAGCTGAGCCATTCAGGCTCTGGCTTGGGTCCCATCCCTTCACAGGTGTCCAGACACCTGGGGTGAATACCTCCCTCACTAGGGCTTGTCCAGTTCTGCCTTCTGCAGCGCAACCAGTTCTGGAGTGTGGTTAGACTGCATTTCCAAGTGCATAGAGGAGCCAGCTCAGGATTTTCTTCCGGTGACCCAGTGGGTAGTATGTGGCTGAAGAGCCCCTGTGCCCTGTAGGGATTTTGGCCAGAATACATTGGTACTTTAAAATCTTTTTCTGGGACACAAGGCGAGGAACGTGCACATGCAAATACATGAACACATGTAGGTTCCAATGGAATCAATTTCTTCACACCCTATTCTGTGTCGAGGAAATACACTGAGGTGCTCAGTAGCCTAGTGGAACACAGAGAATGCAGAGGATTTGAAAGATGTTGGCCAGAAGTGCTGGATTGGGATGGAGCTTGTCAGTTTGCCGCTCCTGAGGTGTGATGCCCTTCTCCCTCGTAGCTTGAGAGCCTGGTGATGGGCAACAGGAACCTCTTTTACCTTGTTTCTTGGAATCTTCTGCCATAGTCACTGCATTTTGTTTTGGATACCAAGTCCTAGCAGAGGACCAGTAGGAAACAGGAAAGAGCCTGGGGGGTTGCAGCTGCCTGTGGAAACCATCCTGCAAGCGAATCCCCAGTACCCCCAGTACCACAAGAAAGAGAGAGAGAGAGAAAGAGGGGGGGGGGGAACCATCCTGCATCTAGGCTATTAGTCCAGGGCTCAGTAGGAGCTGCTGAGCTGGCAGGAGGTAGGCTTGGGGGCTGGCTGAACTCTCCACTCAGGAGGGCCCACTGTCATCGGCAAAGTTGCCGCCAATCTTCCACCTGTTAGCCTTCATTTCTGCGGGCAAGTACACCGTCACAGGACACGTCTTCTCCAGGATCCCAGCTTGTTCACTCAGTAACACAGCCACTGCTCTGCAGATACTCCCTTTGGTCATACGGGTCACTTGCCAATACTTGCCCCATAGCCTGTCTGGCTGCCTGCTGCCTCGGTCAGCTTTCTGACTCTCCACTCAAATCCTGATGGAGATGTGCAAGACAGAATCGTTTTCTCCCTCAAAGTGATATACCTTCCTGGGTATCAGGAAAGAATAATGATGCTACTGCCAAGTAGATGGTACTCAAGAACATGCCATGCACCGGATGTCCCCTACACTTGTTTAGGCAGAACATGCATGGCGCCTAGTTGCTTGAGAGATCAGGGGAAGTCTGTGTACTGGGGATAGGTAGGGTCAGGGTAAGGAGAATGGTCTCTTGGGGCATCCTCTCATACTATGTAGGGCCAAAGTTGATAGGGCTGGGAGGCTGCTCTTTACTATACTTTTTCTTTTGTGTGTGTGTATTTAATGCAGGGTCTACAGGTTCTCACTACAGACTGGACTCGTAGTGATCCTCCTGTTTTCAGCCTCCCAAGTGTTGGGATTACAAGCATGTGCCACCACACCCAGTCTCAATCGCCATCTCAGTGTGCCCTGGAGGCGGGGCCGACTCAGCACACTGGGAATCGATCCCAGGTTCCTACATCTGCCTTAGCAGGTGCTTTAATCTGCTGAGCTATCTGGCTGGCCCATTTACTGTACTCATTGTCTCCTAATTTTTGAGAAATGTCTTCTATAAAAATAGAAAAAGCAGCCATGCCCTCATTCCACCTCTCCTTAAAGAAGCGTCACAAGTGCCTGGGGATGCAGAGTGTTGGGTCCTTGATGAGACTGAGTCACAATCCTCACCCACTTTTTTCTGTCAGTACAATAAGTGTCACCCATGCAAAGACACCACTCTTGATAACTTTTTTTTTATTAAAATACGGTTATACCTGGTGGAATGCAGCAGCAATCCTGGTACAGGGTGGCATAACAAAACAGCCATGTTTACATTTTAAATATTTATGATAACTTAAACATATAGACACACATCATGGTCTTTGGCAGCAAACGTTCACAGCACAAAAAAAAAAAAATACTTTAAAGGAAATACCAAATATTAATCCAAAATATATTAAGTTGTTTTTTTTTTCACCTTTCACAATATTTTTTTGCCTTTTTTTTTCCTTCTTTTTGCTTTGTAAACAATGCACATGAACCAAATGTATTTTTCAGCTTTAAACAGAGGTAGGGGGAATTAAAAAAAATATGCAATTGTCCAGCAAATGCAAATGTTTAAAAAGGAAATTCAGGGAACCATGAGAATAAAACAATATATATTGAATCTAAAAACAGTGATAAAAAAACACAACAAAGATTTGAGAAAAACTAAACAGTAAAGACAAAACTGCTAATACACACCAATTGCTCCTGGGGCTTAACTAGGGGGGCTTTAAGACCGGAAGTCAAAGCCACTGTTGCTGTAGGCTGCCAGGTGGGATCCTGTGACCTCAGTTCCAAGGGTCAGGCCCAGCTTCAGGGCTGGGGATGGGTAGCTTGAGGAGCCAGCCTCACAGGGGATATTTTGTGATAGACTCCACTCAGAGGACAAGCTGAGTTACATCTTGTAGCTCAATGACTAGTTTTCAACAGCAGTGTTCCTTTTCCCAGTCCCTCCAGGTCGGAACAAAGACATTTGTGAGAACAAGACAATTTCTCCAGTTTCCTCAGAGAAAACTGGCGCTGGGCAGGGCCACCCATGTGGACGGGTGGGCATGGCAGATGTCTCTGTGTGGTGGCTCATTTCACCTGGCTCAGAGTTTATGATCAAACTGACAGGAATCCATCTCAGGGACAGAAGTTTCAAAAGGCTGGAGATCCTATGGGCATTTACGACAGGGTCTTGACAGACCAACACAAACATCCTGTGATCAGCCTACATCCAACTCCATGGACCAAGGACTTGAGAAGGAGGAATAACCGGGAAGCCAGTCAGAAGTTTTGGAAACTGTAGTAGCAGAGGCAATGAGCAGAGCCCATGAAGGCCAACCTGAACCAAGATGCCGCCATCTTCTGTTCCATAAGACAAGGAATTATATACAAACCACACACTGTCCCCCAGCTCACTTGAATGGCTCCCAAACCATTCCAAATGAGTGAAGCTGTGGCTTCTCCAAGATGCACACTCCTCATAGTCCCTAAAAGATTCAAGTCTTGTGTTCCCAAGAAGGCAGTGAGGAGCTGAAGAGCAGATGAGGTTCGCTGGAACCAAACTCAGCCAGAGGAAAAAAACCACAGCTGGCCTGGGGACCCCACTTGGTGCCCATGGGCAATCATCCTTGGGATTCGGCTCCCCAAGCCAACATAGCCCCTCTCCCTTGTTGCCTAAATGCCAACTGGCAGGGCAGAGGGGGCTCAGAGACCTTCTGAGCTTTCTGTTGCTATCCCAGCAGCAGGTAAAGAATGAATCCACATTCTCCATGGGCACGGGTGGAATGTAGCTTAAGTGGAATCTGCTGGGGCGCAGGCCTCTGTCAGCTCCCCTCTTCCCTGTAGCACTCTTTCCCACGCTCCTGGGACTGGCTGGTCCAAGACTAGGGGAAGTAGGGAAGCTGCAGCTAGGGGCTGCTGGAATGGCCGAGTGGCAGAGGAGGGGAAGGCACAATCCAGGGTCCCCAAGGAACCATCGCCTTTAGATCAGTATCTCCACCATATCCGACAAGTCCTGGACTCTGGATGTAGCTATAGAGTCTAGAGAGAGATAAAAAAACAGGTATGTGTCATGAGTGTCACTCGATTGCTCTTTTTAAAATCTTGCCCTTTAAAAATTTTTATAACAAAGGTCTTCACCAGCTTTCCTCCTCTTGGCTGTCCAGGTTCCCACAGTGTGTGTGACCAAGCACAAAGCCCTGCTTCTTCTCAACTGTCTCAGAACAGACCACACTCTAGTGTTTGTGATTTTGGACTGGTTGGAAGGCTTAAAGGAAGCCATGGAGAGCCCAAAGGAGGGAAGCTGAAGCATTCTTTTCATGCTTGTGGCTTTCTGAGATCACGAGGCCCAGGCAAATACGCAGAGGTTAATGTGAAAGGAGAGCAAAAGAAAAAAGGGCGTCTTCTCAAGTTTCTCCTCCTGCTCCTCGCAAACAGTCTCCCAACGCATGCGTGCCATCAGGATGACTTGACCAGCTCCAGTATCTTAGGCATGCAGATTGGCAATGAAACGTGTAAGGAAAGGATGGCAACAGCGCCTTTCACTGGGCCACAGTGCTTCTGAGTTTGGGCTCTCTCTTGATTAGGCCTTTCCAGCTCCTCTACTTATGCACCAGCAGCCCTCACGCTTCATGCTCCTACTGGGGGTCAGCCAGATCTTTCCTGACCTCTCCCCATGCAGAGACCTCTCCCAATGCAGAGCTCCCCATTAAGGATGAACAACGATCAGGAAGGGTTTGGGGAGAGGGGGCCTTGGTGTCCCAGCTCACACTCCAGCACACCCTCAGATGGCCCAGCACAGAAGCCAGGAGGAACTGGGGGCTCACCCAGAGAGGCCGCCCTCTGGCCACTGCTGCATCCTGGAAGGCTGTCGGACTCTGATGCCAGGTAAGCACAGGGGCTCTCCACGGGGCCATCGGTCTGGGTGCTCCCATCTCTACTTCCGTGTTTGGAGTGGGTAGGGAGGGGAGCTGCAGCCGCTGGCTCCTCCACAGGTATCCTGTCTGTAGGAAGGGAGGTTTGGCGGTTAATGTCCAGCTTACAAGATGTGGCCCCAATGAAGAGTAACCCAGTGAGCTGGACCAAATGGGCACCTCTTGATCTGGAACAACTCTGTTAAGGCTAAATCCTTCTGTCCCCCTCCACAAGCCCTTCATACTGTACAGTGAATCCAAGGAGCACTGAGCTACATTCTAGCTTTTTATTTTTTAAACTTTTTTTTTTTTTTTCGTATTTTTAGGGGAGGGTCCACAGGGTGTTTAGGGTCTCACTGCTAGATCGGACTCATAGTGATCCACCTGTTTACAGCCTCCCAAGAGCTGGGATTACAGGTGCATATCACCTCGCCCAGTCTCAATTGTTATCTCAGTGTGCCCCAGGGGCAGGGCCAGCACGGCAGGCTCAGGGATCAAACCCCTGGCCCCTGTGCCTACTTGCAGGCACTTTAATCTGCTGAACTTTTTGGCCGGCCCTTATGTTTTAAACTTTTAGACAGGGTCTTGCTGAGTTGCCTAGGCTGGCCTTACTCCTGCCTCAGCTTCCTGAGTAGCTGGGACTATAGACATTCGACACCATTCCCAGAGAACACTTGTTTTCAAAAGGAAGTAAGTGGAGTTGGATCAGTTTCCAAGTGTTTTCAGTGGTGGAACATTTCTATGTTGATGAAACTCAGCGTTTCTGTTGTATCAGTTTAGAAGGAAGAGTAGAGAGGACTTGTGTAGGAGGTATATGTATCTGTAAAGAAAGCTCCATTTTCACTTGGGTGGTTAGGTGGCTGGGGCCTATGGCGACAGAATGCATGGAGCTGGGGCTGCTGTCATCAGCTGTAGGGCCACTGAGCCCAAGCATAAGATGGTCTGCCAAGGAGTCAGGAAGTTCTGGACCCTAGGCGCCTTGGTTCTGGGAGTAGGGAGACTGGTAACCTGTGCCCCTGCCCAAGAGCAACTCCTGTCTCTCCACACTACCAGCCTCTTCTTACCCATCACCAGCCGGGCAGAAGCATCTGCTTGGGGCTCACTTGATGAGAGTCCTTGCCAGCCGTGGGTCCCTGCTGCTGCAGCTGGGAAGATGGATGGCACTGACTTGGCTGGTCGCAGGGAGCCCTGGGCAGCCTTGCCAGGGTCCTTCCTGGAGCGCTGCTGAAGGACCTTGATCACTGCGTCCTTCTCCAGGATCTGGGCATGGAGCACCTTTAGCCTGAGAAGGGAGACCATGTCCACATGGTCAGACCCACAGAGCCAGTGCCTCCACTCCCCCATCTTGTGCAAGTTGCCACCTCTCCCTAATGCCAGGTGCATCCTCCTTGCCATTGCGATGCAGACAAGGAGTGGAGCTGATGCTCCCAGAGCCAGGGCACCTGAGGCACTGGGCCCTCCTCACATTGCCTGAGTGGGTCAGCAGGGATGGGACCTGAACTCGCTGATGATAGACAGCAGGGATATGACCCTCATGCTGGAGGGCTACACTAGGGAAGGGTTGCAGAGCCTGGATGCCCCATTTTCTGCACAGCCAGAGTCTGTGCTTGTAATTCTTGGAGTGCTCAAATGCAGGGTCACCTAAGAAGCAGAGGGATTGCTGAGCTCAGTGGGGACTACGAATCAAGGACAGAGCAGAGGACACCGTATCTTATGTGCAACGCCGAACCTGCTTTCCATCTCCTGATGCCTGTGTCCGCTGGTGAGTAGTCCCTCATTGAAGCTGCTGCTGGGTGAGGGCTGCGGGGAGTGTCGGAGGAGAGTGGTATCGCGCTGGGCAGCTGCTGTGGCGGCTGCATCCATGGCGAACTGTCTCATGGCACGCTCCTCCAGGTATTTCTGCTCCCACTTGGTCATGTCAGCCTCCAGGGCCAGGATCTGCTCCTCCTTCTCCCGAAGTTGTTCTGATAGTCGCAGGGCACTGAGCTCTGGGGACCCACCATGGCTGCTGCAACCTCCGGGGGTGCCCACCTGTCTCTGCAGAGCAAGGAGCATCGCGTCAAGGTGGGTGTTGGAGTGTGGTGGCCATGGTCTTCATGGACACAGGAGACCATATAATAAATTCTCTGGACTGGAACAGGAGTGCTATTGATAATTACCTCAGTGAGAAGGTTAGGGACGGAAGTAGAGACAGAACTATCTAGTTTGTAAACACTGAAAGATGCTCACACAGAAGCCCAAGGAGAGAGAGACTCAGGACCAAAATCCTGTCTTGGGCAGCTAGAGGAGAGGTGGCCAGTCTTCTACAGTTAATAGCAGCTTACTCTCTCTACGTATCAAGGATGCTGAGGACAGGAGACTCCCAAGCCTACATCTAGGCCAAGTGGCAGAGTCTCTGCTGTGACAAGTGGGTGAACAGAAGAAGCGTGCAGCAAAGATGGGACACAGATCAATTGCGCTGGCTTCCTGGGGGCAGGGGCTGCTGCGCCTAGGTCTCAGCAGGGGCTCCCAGGGCTCTGAGCTGGCCCTCTGCTGCTGGCTGCTCCACCTCTACCTCCCTCACAGGCCTGCCAGCTCACCTGCTGTGCACGCAGGGCCTTTAGTTCCTGCTCCAGGCGTGTGCGAAGACGTAGCTCCAGCTGTTCTCGCTTCTCGCAAGCAGCCTGCAGCTGCCCAAGTGCTTGCTGCAGCCGCTCCACCTTCTCCACGTAGGCCTGTTTCTTACGTAGCTCCTCCTCTGCTCGTGCTGCGCGGCCCTGTGCATTGCCCAGCGCCTGCTCCAGCAGCTCAGCCCGTCGTCGCTGGTCCTCAATAGCACCACGCAGCAGGGCCATCTCGCGCTCCAGCTTCTCCTGCTCCTGCTGCTGTTCATAGCCTGCAGGTAGGAGGGGCCCAGTCAGCGACGGTGACCACCCCGGCTAGCTCCACTGCCTGTTAGGCTGCGCGGTGACGCCTTCTCCACTCTCTAGAAGCCTAGGAATTAGCTACGGTGATAATCCCTATTTCACAAAACAGGAGGAAATGGGAAGGCAACAGCACCTTTGAGGTAACAAGTATGCCACACCATCTCTGCTGGGACACTTCTAATTGTCCCAGATGTTACCATCTCCACTTATGGCCACTGTTCCCTCAAGCTCAGATGACTAGAGATGCTCCCTGAGATTAGTCAAGGAGGACTGTGATTCCCCTAAGTGCAGGGTCTGGGAATTTGGATGTAGGTGACCAAATTCCTAAAGGAATGCAGACTCTGCAGCACAGCAAAAATGACTCTGGTCCAAAGACTTGTGCCTGAGACTCCAGCTATGCTGACTTTTAAATCACCTTGTTAGCTGCCCGGTGGTAAGCTGGGCCTGGTGGCACCTGTCTGTAATCCCAGCATTCAGCAGGCTGAAGCAGGAGGATCTTGGCGAGTTCGAGGCCAGTGTAAGCCACATAGTAAGTAAGTTTAGGGTTACCCTGAACTGTATTATCAAGACTTTGTCTCAAAAATAAATCACCAGGGGCACTCTGCTTAGGGCTTGGAGACCTCTTCAAATAGCTGGGCTAAACAAGACCTTGGCAAAATCACAGGATCTTCATGCCAAGCTCTAGGCTAAATTCACCTCGGTGCCCTGCCTTCTTCAAGTCTCACACTGTTGTTTTTTGTTTTGCTGTACCAGGGATTGAGCTCAGGCCCGTGTGCTTGCCAGGCACACACTTGTTCTACTGACTGAGCTGTCTCCCTGGCTCTTGCAGGTCTCATACTGGAGTAGCTGGCTACTGAGCTGGAGAAGGAAAGGAACAGGCCGCGAGGTTAACCTAACAAGCGCAGCTCTGGAGCAGCACTCGTATCTAGTCGACTTTTCTGTTACAGTGGGATTATTCTATACTGTGCCATCCAAGCTTATAGCCACTGGCTGTTGAGTGCTGGCAATGCGGCAAGATGGAGAAATGGCTGGATGCTATTTATTTTCATCTCTGAGCCATGTGTGAACCTGTGGTACTGAACAGTAGTACCCTTAGCATACACAAAGGACATTCACTGCCTCAGGTCAGGAAAGGGAGGACTCCGAGGTAACCCTGGCTTAGAATTCTGGAGGCTGGCTGGCTTCATTCTTTGGCAGGGAGGGAAACGATGTGGAAGGATAGTGGTAAAGGCATGGAGCTCTTCACAAATTGGCTGCTTTAACATTCAGCCAGTGGGGGATGGGAGAGAGCAGGCAGGTTTGGACTCAAAGGTAGTGTCCCTACAGGTTAGAATCCAAGCTCAGCATGACCGGGAGGTAGAACATCCTCGTGTCCTACCACACTGGAGCCTGAGGCTCCGGAAGATAAGACAAGGAAGCAGAGGAGGCTTCAGACTCCCAGATGGCCACACTCTGCACGAGTGCTGCCTGACACCATGAACAAAAAAGGTCAAGCAGACATCCTCCCTGAAAACTGCTGGGGCTCCCTCAGCCCTTGGCATGGCGGAGCCGGAGGACCCAGCCTTTTGCTTACAGAAACTTCCTGCAGCTTGGCACAGCCTTTAAGGTGCCTCGGTGAGGTGGCAGCTGGACCTTGGGGCCCTCGAGGACCTAACGAAGCCGTGGTCCTGCTGCCAGGAGCGCGTGTAAAGGGCTTTGAGAAACGCGCTCTACCCAAGGGACAGGGAGATGCTCGTGAGCCTAGAGCCACGAGTCTCCCCACCCCGGCCCCGTCTGCCTGAGCGCTAGCCCTGCCTCCTCCCAGGGCCCCGCTGGCCGAAGGGCGCCAGGCTCAGTGCTTGGGGGCGGAGCGGCGGGGGGCGGGCCGCGAGCGGAACAGCCGGGCGGCTCAGGAATGCTAGGCATCCAGGTCACCCGCGGCTGCCTGCGAGATTAATGGCCCCAGCAAGAAGCCAAGAACAGCCTGGCGCTCGCTCGCTCCCCAGGGAGCGGAAACGCCGCCCGGCCAGCCTCTCCCGGCCCTCCCCTTCGCAGGCTTCCAGAAACCGTCCCCCCACTTCCTTTCTTTGGCAGAGTCAGGCCCTAAAAGCGCCCCTCAAGTACACCCCCCCATCTGCCTCGCCTCCCAGCTCTAGCTCTCCAGATTCCCAAGGTAACTGCCAGAGCTGTACCGCCCCCCCCCTTTTTTTTTTGGGGGGGGCGCTCCTCGCTCAGCCTGTCTAGTACAGGCTGTCTATCTCCTGCCAACCTTCTCAGTCCCCTTGGCCTTTGTTTCCCCGCTCCCAACCCCAGCAGGTACTGAGGGAGGGGCATGGGCCAGGGCTCTGAGTCCTCCTGGAAGGAAGTAGGGGTGCAGCCAGCCAGACTCATGCTGCTTCTGGGCACTCATTATCGCTGACAGTAGGTTTTCTGATTGGGTTCCTTTGGAAGACACCTTAACCAGGAACCAACCATTCTGATCCCTGTGGGGCTTTGAGCTTCTTCCTGTTGCTCTCAGGGTTCCCTCTGTGCCTCCAGCTGCTCCATGCACCCCCACTGGAGCCATCTAAGTGCATCTCCATCCCTGTAGGGCCCCAGTTCTCCCAGCCCACCAGGGACCTCCTCATTACCAATCTCTGGGACCATGAACATTCTTGATCTCATTCCCACTTTCTTCACCTTCCCATTTCCTGGGCCCATTTTCTCCCTTCACTAAAATACCTGCCAGGCGCTTAGCCCAGTTCTAATGAACAAATGACGAGGGATGGAGGAGTAACTCATCCACCCTTAAAGGATGACTGCACATCCCCCTTTAGAGCAAAACCTCCTGAACCCCCTCATTGCTTTTGCCCCAGATCGCTGGTAACCTTGCCATGGCTCGACTCCACCAGGCTTCTCAGCTTCTCACATTCCCATTTCCAGGCTTTCTTCTGCTTGGACTCCCCAGAAAACTCTGACTCTTCATTCTCCTGGTTGCCAGGGATCCCTCCACCCCATGCGCCTCTGCGGCAGACAACCCTGCACTGATGGTCAGTATCACAGCTCCACCAATCACTGCCCTCCAGCTTTCCCACATATACCAACTGCTCTTTCCAATAAATATAGAACCATGTCTTGTTCCTTTTTGGAAGCCAGCCCTCTCCTGAGGTCTATCATAAAGTAGCTACTGCTTTCCAAGGCAGAGGGCCATGCCACCATCCCACAGGGCCACTGTGGTCTCATCATCTACACAGCTGACAAGGCTTTTTAGTAGGACCCCTACTCACTCTGAGCAAGCAACTTGGCCACCATGTCTTGACTGCCTGCCTGGGCCTCCTGTGTCTTGCTTGCCAGGCGTCGATTTGCGGATTCCAATCTCTCTGTTACAAATGAAGGGCAGATGTTTTAGTGTCTGGAGATGCTGCCTGGCTGGAGAGTTCTCTGGGGTCCTATTGATGAAGCTGCTTCCTCCAAGCTGGAGGGAGGCTCATAGGAAGCCCCAGCTCAGGTGCCCAGGCAGGAGACACTACATTGGAACTGCACCTTGGGGACTCCACGTACATGGTCCAGAACAGAGACAAGCATCTTACAGGGCGCCCCACAAAGAGTTAGCCTGGCCTTGGAGTCAGTTTGCACTTATGTGTGTGGAGAACAGAGATTTGGGATTCTCCCCTAGCGAAGCAAAGCTCTGCAGATGCTCTCCAGCCCTCCCACCGTGTGCCCGGTTTTCACCTCTGAGATCGCGGTTGAAGTCCTGCAACCGCCTCATTTCACTGTCCATCTTGTTCCGCATGGTCTTCTCCAGGGCCTCACGCTTGGAAGAAGCTCTTGTCAGGCTCTCGTGGGCTTCAGAAAGCCGCTGGATTTCACTCTCCAGCTGCAAGAGACACAAGCAGAGTTGAAGGAAGGACGGGGCTTCCGGGGACTGATCCCAGGCAGATCTGTCACTTATACACTGAAAAAGGGAGAGAGGAGAGCAAGAAAGGGGAGCAAAGGACCCAAGTGGCTGTAGGGGGATGGTCAGAAGCCCGAAGCCGCCTGGGGAGCTGGATTTCGCGACCAGCCCCAAAGGACCCATCTGTTGCCAGAAGGACCAGATGCTGCCCGTAACCTGGCCAGGAACTCAGCGAGGGACTGCCTCCAGGGCAACTAAATACAGCCTTTCTGTGGCCATTTTCCAGAAAGTCGCATTTTACTTTTGGCTGGTGTCTGCAGAGAAATCTGAGCACAAGAGGGCCTGGGTGGTCTGGGCCGTTACCAACACAACAGGCAAGCCTGAAGCTATCTGCTACAGGAGAACCTCAGCTCAGCTGCACTAAAGAAGGGGGCACCAGACCTGAGCTGCTCTGTCTGGAGTCTCTTGCTTCCTGCTCTGCCACTGTCCACGAGGAGGGCCACCCTGGCCCCAGCCACCCCTCCCACTTGGCTGCTGCAGGTCCTGCACGTGCTCCTAGCTAGCTTGCCATGCCAACAAGTCACTTTTTTTTTTTTTTTTTTTTTTACAAGAGGAGGGACTTTCTCTTTGGCCTGGAACAGACTGGCTGTTGTGTAGGGGACACAAAGAGCTCTCTGTGGGAGGTGTCCAGGGGAGGGGTTGTATGCAGGCCAGGGTGTGAGTGAGCAGAGAGCTGGTGAATGAGCTCTTTCTAACTGCCACTGGCCAGCAACTGCTCATGCTCAGGGCTAGCTCTGGCGGCCTCTCGGCTATTCCCCAGCTGTCTGGAGTCAGCTGCGGAGGTGTGTAAGGAGTTCAGGCCAGAAAGACAGAAATCCTGTCACATGCCAGCTCTCTGCCCCTCTGCCTCCACTCCTCTGTCTTCCTGCCTCTTTCACCTGGTCTGAGACCCCAGCAAGCCTACCTTTTCAATGCGGCTCCCCTTTTCTGCTGAGCTCTCCAGTTCCCTCTGCAGCCTCTCATTGTCCCTCTGCAGCCTGGCATTGTCTCTCAACACAATCTCCATCTGGGTCAGCTCGGCACTCCCCACAGTGGCAGAGAAGGCCTGGACACTTGCTGGTCCCTCCACTCCCAGAGGGCCATGACTGAGAACAGCTGGGTGTGGGGGCGCAGTGTGCTCCTGGGGCTGCTGCAGGTACTGGTACTGCTGCTGTTGCTGCTGTTGCTGCTGCTGCTGCTGGAGGAACACAGGAGGTACCTGGGCCTGCAGGATCCTGGAGAAGAGAAGACATAACACTCAAGAGACTCACAGACCCCCACCGTTAATATTAAGAAACTGCCAATTCCAGTGTTAGATAGTGACCAGTGGGAAGGTCCCCTTCCCACATGGTATCTGCCCAAGGCTCTCTGGGACTCTGGGGCTGGAGAGCAGGGCTGGAGGGGATAAAGATCAAGAGGTCATGCCCTGCCTCACTAGGGCTAAGGCCTTGGGGATCACCTGCGCCATCCTAGGTCTCACAAGAACTACTGCTCACTAAGGCATTTTAAAAAAATGCATCTTTGTGCTTTCAAATCAAGAGAAGTTTCGTTTTGGTTCTAGAAGTTAACTAAACCAACAGTCTTCCAAGGCTCCAGAGCAATTGGGTGGCTGGGCCCATCAGCTACCTTGTCTCTTACAAATCCTTAGTTTCAGGTCCACTGAAGTAGCATGCTCAAGTTTTCTCCTTTCCTCCCTCCCTCCCTCTCTTCTTTCCCTTTCTTTCCCTCTCTCCCACCAGGTCTTGGTTCCCATCCTCTCAACTTGCAAAACATCCTTAGAGGGCTCTGGTTAAGCTAATAGCAATAAGATAGATGTCAGGAAAGAGTGTGATACCTAAGGGTTCAAATCCCAGCTCCAGCTTCACGCCTATTCCTCCGCTATATATCAAAAGGGTCTCCCGCCTCACAGGTAAGCGCTGGTGTGGACACAGCAAGCACTCCCCTAATGAAGGTCATCCCAGCTCTCCCGGGAGGGACCTGGGCACACTCAGAGTGTAAAGTATGCAGTCTGCCTTTGGCTTGGCATGCTGTAGAGTTCAAGGGACAATATTCTACTACTTCACAGCACAGGGGCAACATCACCCTCCGGGTTCTGTGTTGCAGAAAGGAGCAAAGAGAGAGGCATGGGAAGTTAAAGAGCTTTTTAAGGTCTTGTTACTCCAATTGTCACAAATGCTTCCATTTCATAAAGAAGTTTTCAAGTTGTAGAGGCCTGTAGAAACACTCCACTCCTGAGTCCATCTGCTCAGCAGGCATACCACTCTTACAGCCCGGGCCTCCCTCTGCTCTCATTAGGGTCCTAGGCTCAGGTCCCTGTTTCCAGTGCCCAACAGTTTTCATTTGTCAGCCAAAAGGAGAAAGCAGCAGGTGCTCTTCCCTGCTACCTAAAGTAAGGCTTCCAGGAACAGCTGGGCAGAGCCCCGCACCCAGTGGAATGTCCAAACTGCTTTCTCTGTTGATGTGGACATTCTGGGGGCAGCTTCTGAAACCTGCTGCTCCTGCACAGGCCAGGCAGACACAGCAGCATTCTTTGGGGGTGACTGAGCTAGAGAAAAGAATAGCTGTGTCCTTCCCGCCACACTTGCTTTCCCTTTCCCTTGCTCCCCCCTCCCCTTTTTGTTCTCCTTAAAACAAGTCTGCTTTACTGAAATATTATCACTTCCTGACGGCATTCACTAGGGCTGGTCCAAAAGAGGAAACCACGACTCAGCTTCCCAAACTCTTCCTGACCAGCCCTGAGAAACGAGATAAGGTGGGACTCCGGAGGGCCTGGAGCTCGAGCAAGCCCACAAGGCTTTCCCCACTCCCCCGTGGTTCTTCCACTAAGGCTGTCACACTACACACTCATTTCTTGGAGGCAAGGAAAGGCATCTTCCCCAGAAAAGGCAAAACGGTGAGAAAGCAAATGACTAAACAAAGACTCAGTAGGCATGAAGAGAATCAGAGTTGGACCCTGAGCCCCCACAGGGAGCAGGGAGTTCATAAATCTATGGCTCCCTCTGATGGGTTTCCCTGGACAACCCCAGGAGAAGATGCAACAATGATGGATGTGTCTGCCTCTCTGGAGAGGGTGCTAATCCTGGGGAGATGACTCAGGCAGAGCCTCATCCAGGAACCCTCATTTCTGTAGTGTTCTGGTTTCCTGCCTCCTGGTCCCTTGCCTCCATTCTGGCCCCTATGCTAACCTCTCTCTACATGTGCGACCCTTGCATTCACCTTCTGAAGTTGAATCACATCCCATCCTCTTGTGGCTTCCTTTCATACTCAAGAGGCAAACTCACAACCTCTCCTGAGGCTCCAAAGAAAGGAGCTCATCTGGACCCAGCCTCTTCTCCCACTACTAGTTACAGGAACATGGAAAAGCATAAATGGAAAAACAATAGTGACAGAACAGCTCTGACTGAGAGTGGTTTCTAGGGTGGCCACCTGGCTCTTTTAGACGCATTAAGAACGCCTCTTCCAGTGGTTAGAGAAAGCAAGCTGTCCACTGAAACAAAAACCAAACTTCCAGGGAGGCCACAGTTTCATTCTTCATGACATGGGAACTATATGGCAATGATTCCCATTCTTTGTCTTTTGAAAGTTCTTTTTGCTATCTTGCTGCCAACCCTTGATATAATTCCTGTCTCCTAAGAACTCTAGCTATTTGCCGCTCCTACTAAGCAGACCTGCTAAGTAGTGTGTATCTGTGAACCAAAGCAACGATGCTAACTTCTCATGTGACCTTGGTTAAGTTGTCCTCTCCTGCAGCCTTTGGCTCTCCCTTAGAGGAAATTGGGGGCTGTATTAGGCAGCCTCTGGAGCTGGTAGGGGTGGAGTGGGCTAGCAGTCTTGTCAGCTCAAACTCCTAGGACACAGGAGTGGATATTAAGGCTCTCTTTCTTGGGAGACTACACTGGAAGAAAGCCAGAGTTTGAAAGGCCACAGAGGGGGTAGTTACCTGACTTCAGCACGCTGGAAGTGTGGGCTGCAGCGGGTGCGGTACCTCGGGTCGGTGACAGCAGTAGTCTCATGAGGGAGTACAACGTGTGGGTACTGGGGTGGGGGTCCACGGGACTCTGGGACCTCAGCAGGAGGACCCCGGGGTGGAGGGCACTGCTGACTGCGAGCCAACTGTGGGAAGCTATGAGAAGAGCTCATGTGGTTGGGGACTCGGGCACCGTTCCTCTCCAGGGACAGCTGCAGGAGCCGTTCACTCAGCGAGCGCACGTGCCCATGCCTCAGCTCTCGGAGGGCCTCATCTTGCCGGTGGCTGCCTCCTGGGCCCCCACGGGGATCCCGTTCTGCGATGTGTGGCCGTGGCCCTGCCTGCTGGGCTGCATAGTACTGCGAGTGGGCTTTGGCCTCCTCATAGGTAGGCAGCTCCTCACCCTTGCTGGGCTGTGGACACAGCCTGTAGAGGGTGTTCTCTGCCAGGTGGGCCTCACCACCCTGATGCTCTTGGCCTTGGGGCTCTTGCCTGGTGGCCTGCTGTAGCACCTGATTGTCCTCAGGTGCCAAGATCTCCAGGGAAGCCTGGGGGCTCCCTGTGCCCCCAGCTCCAGCTCCAGCTCCAGCTCCACCCCGCAGGGCCTGCTGCTGGATGGCCAGCAGCGTCCGAGTCTCTGTCAGGTTGCCATAGCGCAGCTGTTCCTGGATGAGGCGGTGCAAGACTGTCCCCGAGGAGTCTTCAAGCGTCCTCATGCTTCTTTGGCTTATGCACACCTTTCTAGACAATGGCCAGCAGGCGCCTGGACCCAGAGCACCTGGGGGCGGGGGGGAAGGGAGAAAGAGAGAGAGAGAGAGAGAGAGAGAGAGAGAGAGAGAGATCAGTGGAAGCACATGAGAAGGGTGACAACCTTCCCTCACAGTCTGGTTGCAAGCATAATGGTACACAGGAAGGCTGGGTTAGGTGGATTTCACACAAGCCAGGGTTAAACTGTCAATGCTGCCACCAATTGCTTAAAGCAAATTATCCTAAGCTCTCAGCCTCAGTTTCTTCATTAAAAATAAAAAATACTGTTTACCACATGGTTGAGCTTAAAAAGAGACAATAACTGTTGAGCTCCTGGTACACTGTAAATCCTTGGAAAATGATTACCATTGTAATGACATCCACGGAGACTTACTAATCCTAGAGAAATATGACAGCAAACCAGAAAGTAATCTAACAGAAACCACAGCCTCCTAAAGCCAGCCACCCAGCAAACATATCCACGGATGACTCCATGGCCAGCTTAGCTCAGATCTAACCATGTAGCTGTCAAGGCCAGAAATCAACAGGACCCCCATTTAAAGAATGAACGGATCTGGGGATAAAAGATGAACTAATCCCATAGGAGCTTGAACAAACAGCTCCCAGATCCCTCCATGATGAAGATGCCTTGTGGCAGCCCTGACACAATGAACTCCCCTCTCTCTACCTCCATGAGCCGGCTCCCCCCACTCTTCTGAACCAAAGAACTCCTAGAGGACAGCCCTTGGGCTCTGCTTCATCAAAGGCTGCTGATAATAATGAATCAGGCTCTCCTTGTCATGGGTGACCTTGGCAGTCCTCATGCAAAGTGAGTGAGCAAAGGAATGAACTGCCTGCGAATTGGTTAAAAAAAAAAAAAAAAAAAAAATGAAGAAAAGCAAGGCTGCGTACAATAGGATAATGCTTCTGTGAGCTGAGGCAAGGCCAGCCACCTAGTGAGCGCTCACAGAAACAGCATGGGAAAGAAAGGACGGCAGGTCGTCCTAATTATGATGACCCCTTCTCTGCACACCCTTGCTACTGAGAGAAGACCATAGGATGGGCACTCCATATCCTTCTTGACATTAGCAATAACCTTACAGATCTGAAGGTTAGGAACTGTGAACCTAAGGTTTGGAGAGGTCTCACCAAAGAAAAAATTCCCTTCCATGCCTGGGCTCCCAACAGCTCGTGTGGCCTGTCTCCCTCACCCAGCAGCTTCCTTTCCATGACCTACTCCAACACAAACCTCTCAACTGAGATCCTGGGAAAAACCAACAAAATCCACGCTGCAACAGGCCCTGTGTGCAGAGAGGTGGAAGAACGGAATGTGGTCTCGCCTCTGTCACAAAACTAGCCCTGGTGCTCTGTCTCAGTTTGGGCTTGACTAGTTGGCATAGCAGCCATTCCCAATCCACTCCGCCACTCCCAGGACTCCAACTGCCCAGATTGGGGGTGGGGTGGCTGTGCCTACACCCGATCATTGCCCCCACCAACACTCTCTACCAGGGTAAAACGAGCAACTAGGAGTCAATTCGCGTGGAGTTTCATCTGCGGGGCATTTCCTAAGTTAATCACTGTCTGGGCTGACTCCTGCTGAGGAGGATCCGGGAGCAGCGAGAAGGAATGCAGAACCTTCCGGAGATTCCAGGCGCGCCAACTGTGTGCCAGGACTGCGAGATAGGCACATCCCCAAAATTTCTCATCGCAAATTTGTCCTAGTCAAGCCCCTGAAACCCACCATCTTTCATATACCGAAGTTCTGAGCTGTTACTAATCTCGGTTTCCCTTACCAGAGCAGTGCGCCTCTACAGAGGTAGCGCGCTGTGCCTCTGAAAGCCACCGTGCCAGGTAAGCGCGCACCTCCTGCCTCGCCTGGGCTCGCGCTCGCCGAAGGAACCACTGCTAGTGTCCAAATCAGATCACACCGGCCAAAAGACCCGCCCTGCCTCGATCCTCGGAGGATCGGAGTTCCGACAAACGCCAGTACACAACGGACGAGCTGGCGAGCGTAGTCCGCCTCCAGGAGAGGTCTTTAAGCGTCGCCGGTCCACCTCCCTAGATCCCTCCAGCCCTCTTTGTTTTCCAAATACTCCTGCGCTGACGTCACCGGACTGGACGGCAGGCTGCATTCTTTCTAAGTGAGAGCCAATTCGTGGCTCCAGAGAGGATTTTCCAAGGAAGACAAAGAGGAATTCTTGGGCCAGTGAGGGACACAAAGACACCTGTACCCCTGCCTTGCCAAATGAGCCACAAGGACCCTACACACTGAACCCCACGAGGCGCCTGCAGCCGTGTTTCACGCCCCCCCAAGTCCAACCCACAATCTGAAACCTCCCTGCTTTCTCCAAATTTGTCCCCTCCTTCAGCTCCAGAGGATCCGCGAGCCTTCCATACCCGCCCAAGCGCACCGCGCAGCGCTCCCTGGGCGAGCAGTCCTAGCCTCTCGCCGCGGCCGCCTCGAAAGCACGCACTGCACCCAGAGAAGGAATGCTCCGCGCCGCTCCGGCCCCCAGAGAAGGCCAGGCGCGGGTACCCGGGCTCTCGCAGGCCACGTCCCTGTGGAGCGCGAAGCGGCTTTGCTTACCGCTGCGGGTCGCGGGTGCCCGGCGCGCCCAGCCCGGACGTCCCAGCCCGGCTCGGATCTGCTCTGCGGCGGAGGTGCGCACTCGGCAACTGTGCAGACGCTCTGGCTGCTCGCGCCCTATCGCGCAGCTCCTGGGTCGGTCCGCGGTGGAGGCGGCAGCTATGCCAGGAATGTGAGAGTTTCAGGTTCCCCCCTCGGGATCAAAGCGAACCACAAATAACCTCTCGGCGCGCCGCCCTCCTCCGCCCTCCGCCTCCTCTCACTCCCCCTCTGGTCGCCGCCTTTCTCCGGGAGGCGGCGCTGGTGGCACTGGACCGGCCCAGAGCTCGGCCCCCGGCCGCCAGTGCTCATGGTCACCCGGCGTTCCCTCCCCCAGCCTCGCCGTCGAAGCCGCTGGGGACGATTTGATCCAACTCAGCCCATGACTGCCGTTTCTCCCCATTTTTGCCTTGCTCTCACCTGTCCTCTCTAAAACTGTAGACGGCACGGCGCCTAGGGACTAGGCGTCCGAGTCTTACTGCAGGAGAGATCGTGGTGGACGACTGCAAAGACGTCCGCGGCCACTCGCCTAGGACCCTCTCAGGGGTTAAGAGCTGCGCAACCTCTTCCCTAACCCCTCCGTATTCACCCCCAGCGGCAACGTTTGAATTGCACATCTATTGTTTACAAACACCTTCGCCAGACCTTCAAAGAGCTATTACCTCGGGAAGTGTGAATCTGGGTTTGGGAAAACCTGCAGAATTTTCCCACCTACTCAACTGAAGCGCCCTCCACTCCGACTCTTTTAAGTGGATGCGGGCCCTGACACTCCACCTCGCTACGTGGCGCTCACAGCTCCCTGTCCCCTCCTGAGACCTCGCCATACAAGGCCTCTCCATAGATCTGCGGGCAGGGGTACGGGAGCCGATGCGGAGAGTCACGGCTGATTTCTGCCCGAGCCTGTACCTTTTCTTCCTCTCCTCAGCCTCGAGTTTGCAATTCCTAAATTTACTGGAGGCAGCCACGGGTAAGGAAACTGCAAACTCAATGGCCGGGGACGTCGTTAATTTTTAATAAAGCCCTCCTAAAAGTGTGTGTGTGTGCCTGTGTTTTCCTCAGAAAGCAAATATTGTATTTCAAATAGTGATTGGACCTGATACAAATGATAAAATGGGTCATCTGGGCCAGGCAAAGAGGACACCTAACAAGGAGAGGAAGTGGTAGGTACCAGTGTTTTAACTAGAAGAGGTAGGTAGGAATCTTATGAACGAAAAGGAAAAAGTCCCCAGATGGCCTCATCTCAGGGACCACGCTCTTCTTGGAAATGCTTAGGAGAGGTATGAGAGTGGGTGTAGGCTTGTGCATTCTGGGGTTGCAAAATCAGGGGAAAGGCCACATGGTACAGTCTTGTTTTTCAGGGGCCTTTAGAGGACACCTAAGAAAATGCTTGACAGACATTCTTGAGATGGTTGCAGAACCCAGGTCTGTACAAGGCAGCCGTGGGTCAAAGAGGTACGTGTTGGGGTAGGTAAGCCTGCTGTGGCTAAGTCAGACCCCTTAACTGCTCACAGAACAGGGAGTGGCATTCCAAAACCCAATAGGAAACTAACACACACTTTTTCCCTTCCATCTATAAATAATGGAGGGGGGGGGAGGTTAACAGAGCCTGCCAAAGCTGCAGCCACACCTGGCTTGCAGGGTGACTGGGAGAGAGTGACCGCCATGAAATGTGAGAGAGGGAGATGTAAAGGGATGGGCATTTGGCTGGCCAGCCTGCTTGCTTGTAAATCCTCATGCACCGCAAAGCGAAGAATTTCTCCCTCTTACCTTCGCCTTTGCCAGCCAGTCTTGTTCCCTCTCGCTTATCTACTCCCCTGCCCCACAGGTAGTGCTTTTCCCCAGATGACAGTGTGGCTGGCTGTTTCTGGAATCCTGCCCAGGAAAGATGCAGAGGTGACCCAATTCTCAGACTAAGCCAAGCTTCAGGCTTTTGCTCTGGAGTGTGCAGCTCACAAGGGTGTGGCTGCATCATAGGTGTGTATAGGGCTTAGCAAGAGATAGGTTCACACACCCTCACCCCTTTTTAGCCTGGTGTATGCCTGTGCATGTGATGTAGCCTCAGCCTGACCATGCAGCTGCATCTCAGACTGGAATATGAAGGGTGTTTAGTGGACCCCTTGCCTGAACAGCCCTATGCTGGGAAAAGAATGGCCCCCCTCACCTTCCACATGGTTGACTGGGGGAGGGGCCCCAAGGCCCAGGTGGCAACATCAAAGGAAGGTTGCTTTTTAGCTGTGAAAATCCCACCTTCCAGCCTCCTCTTTGACAGTTTATGGGAGTAGGAAGTCTGCCAAGATCTGGGGCAGGAAGTAAGTCAAAGGAAGTCTGGACACTGGGATAGAAGTGCCCATGCTCCAGTTCTAAGATCAGAACAGAGCCATGAGAATGCCTTCTTCTCTTTGTCCTTCTGCAAAAAACCTGTTCCCCCTTCACTCCCTTCTCTACTCATCCCTTCACAACTGCTTTTTTATTTATTTATTTATTTATTTTTTTAAGACAGGGTCTTGCTATATATAGTTCAGCTGGCCTTGAACTCACTTATGTAGCCCAGGATGGCCTTGAACACATGGAAATCCTCCCTTCAGTTTATTCCTGTCTGGAAAACCTTCATGCTGGGGAGGAGATCTAAGAACTGCTAACTCTGGACCAATGGCTGAAGGATCATTTGGAACTAACAGCTTAGCCCCCAACACCTGCCTTTTTGACAAAACTGCTTTGTATCATGCATACTGATTTAGTGGATGTGCCACTGCTGCCTGGAAAGATCCTCTGCTCTGGCTAAAGACTCCAGGGAATGTGGGGCAGCCCTGGGTGTGCAGTTTGGTAGGAATGAGCCCAGGGAAGGGTTTTGGCCCTTTGGAGGTAGGGCAGAATGATGGAAGAATGCCCCCTAGTGACGGCATCCTTAGCTGCTAAGGACAGCTCAGCTTGGGGCTCCCTGGGTGGGCCCTGGACCTGGGGCTGGGAGTGAAGGGGAGGAGAGAAGCGAGGGAGGAATGAGGTGTTTGGGGAAATGTCTCAGCTAGGAACAGATGTGTCCCAGACCCTCCAAGAGTGCGCTGATGGCTACAGGTGTGTTTCTGAGTTTTCCTCCACTTCAAAGGGAGGGCTTATCATGTAGTCTTTAAAGAGACACCATCATTAACACAACAGCTTCATGTCACTGCCCCTGGGAAACACCTTGCATTCACCCCATTCACCCTTCAGGCATCTCCTATGTCACATATTTCAGACATTCAAGGACACAAAATACTTCCTGAGTCCTCTCTCTGAGACAGCCCTTCTGAGTCTAAGGGGTTCTCTTTGTGTGTGTGTATGTATTTTAGGAAAGGGTCTACAAGGTGTTCAGGGTCTCACTACTAGACTGGACTCATAGTGATCTGCCTGTTTACAGCCTCCCAAGAGCTGGGATTACAGGCCTGCACCACCATGCCCAGTCTCAATTGCTGTCTCAGCAGGCCCCGGGGAGCTGGGCTAGCACAGCACTGCACCTGCTTGCAGGAGCTTTAACCCACTGAGCTATTTGGCCGGCCCTAGGGGCTCTCTATCCTGATGGAGTTCATAGGTGACTGAGAGCAAGGGAGAAAGACACAGCAGTGTGACACTGCAGTGTGAAAGAAAGGGGACACAGGCACAGAGGCAGCCACAGGGGATTTCCCGGAGGAGGTGTTTCAGGATGAGTGCTGGAGGCCCCACTGGGTTGCAAGGAGTCTTTTCCAGGTTGGCATTTGCAGCACCCACAGTAGCAGCACAAGTTTGTTGGCACACTAAAACCAAAGCAGGAAGTACTGGCTATATCTGGGAGTTTACAGTCTTTCAGCCACCCATAAGTCCCTTCTCAGGAGTTATCCTGCTGGGGCGGGAGGCCAAAGGGCAGGAGGAAACTTGGAGGTACTGAATAGATTTACTATTTTGATTGTGGCGTTCGTTTGACAAAACATATCAAGTCATGCTCTTTCAGTAGGTATTGTTTGTTATATACAAAGTATGCCTCAATAAAGGGAACTTCAAAAGTCAGATAGTACTATGTGAGAAAAAATCATCTCACTCTGCCTGCTCCACTGAGCTCCACTCGAGACAATCACTTTAAACTCTTTTAGATAGCCTGTATTTACACCTAGATTTCAACAGGCATCTCCTACTACTGCGTGGTCTCCATGTTAAGTATTATCTGCTGACTTCCACTACAAAAGATTAGGAACACACACACACACACACACACACACACACACACACACACACTTCTCCATTCTCTTGACATGGCTAAATGACATTTTTTGTTCAATTACTTTCCAGTGTTTAGACTTGCAATGTTTATTGTGACTATATAAATATTGTTCATAGCTAATTCACATGACTGTGCCAGGACTACAGTTCCTTTCTTATCCAACTTTTGTTTTCATTGGAATTAAGCTTTGCCTCATTTTCCATTTGCTTGGTGCCCTCTGTACTTAGCATTTTGCGTCCAAATACACAGAACTCTAAAATTCCTCTCCATGAATGCAGGTCTATTAGTATTCCACCGGCTCCATCACAATCTTGGTGGCATCCCTGCTGCAGAGTGGGACAGTGACTGCTGTCCAGTCCCAACAAGTAGCTTTCCTCTTAATATCTCCTTCCTTCTTCAGCATGGAGCTTCTCCTCAATTCCCTTCTTTTGGTTTCTTATTAACTGAATTCTTTGGCCCCTTCTTTGGGGGTTTACTATTTCTC